CACCAGGCCTATGTATACTAGGCAAGTGCTCTATTGCTGGGATATACCACCAAGTCCATCTCCTTCTTAATGATAAGTATGATGTAATTTCTAAAGACAGCAATGTAAGTAACATGAGGCCTTTGGAAAACAAATGTCCTGTGCTTCCCAGGAAAATTTAAATACATACAAATGCTAGTATAAGATGTTGCTATGTGTTTTCATATCCTAAAAGGAAAAGAGAATTAAAATAACCAGTTTCTTTCTCCTTCAGGAAAGGTAGATGGCAGAAATCTGGGAATCCAGGCAGGCTTCACATAATCCCAAGAGTAGATGTGCAGTGTGATACAGTTTTCCAAAACACATAAAACTCATCAACGTTTACTTTTCTGCTGGTTATCATGAGATTAAATCATGTAATCAGAGCAAAACTGATTATATGCATCTTTAGCGATTCTGAAGTTCTGAATATAAGATTAGGAAAAGAAAGAATACAGGAGGAAAAATAACTGTTGCTTTTCTCGTTCGAGGTAGAAAGCTTGGCAGGGAAATTGAGATAAGTAGGCAACAGCTGGCTAGATAGATGGTGTCACAGCGGAATTTGTTTTCCTGGACTGTAGCTTTCTAGAACAAAGAGTTCCTGGCAAGCGATGGTGTTCATATCATGGGGAACGTGGGAGGAGAGTCGCTGACCTGACCAAAGAGTTTTAAAATGAAATTTGTGGAAGAAAGTAAAAAATGCCCAGATAAAACTGCCAACTGGATGCCCCTGAGGATAACAATGACACAGAGAGAAGCATCATGATGCAGGCTCTGTGCTGTTATTTTCAAGAGAAAATAAGAGGGCAACAGATCAACACGCTCTGGCCCTAGATGTCTATATTCCTCTGCATGGCAGACCCCCGCTTGTTCCCTTGTGTCTGCTCTTTGCCAGCTCCTATAGCTCAACTTGCTGGCGTGCTTTGGCTGAAGACTCATTCCCTTCAGGCTCCTGATTCAGTTTCCACGTAGGCATGGAATCAAGTAACGCTCCCAACACATCTCAGTCTTGGAGGAAAGGTGACTGTGGCTGGAGGGCTTGCCACTGCTGCCAGGCTTCAAGGTGCCTGCTTATGGTGTCCTTGCTTTTAGGAAGGCTGAGGTCTGAAGCGCTGCATGGTAAGCGCTGGGCATCTCAGCACATCTCAGAGATTAGTTTACTGGGCAATCACCTTTGCCTGGACTCATGAGCTCCTTTGAACCAAGTACCTGCATTGATTTCTTTTTTCTGGTTTCTGGTTTCAATGTATCTGGTTGACTGACCTAATCCTTCCAGTTGTTTTATAATCAGGGACATTTCCTCGGTTGGAGAAAGTGACTTTGAAATGTGGTGTAGATGTTAAGATTAAGAGTTCTGGAGTCAGATGGAGTGGGGTGGACTCCAGCTCCTGTCTGCAACTGTCATGTGTCTATTTCCTTATTCATAAAATGGGAATTACCATCTTGCTGTAAGTCTCAAAGAAGTAAATGCATGTAAGCCAATTGGTACAGTGCTTAATGACCCAAAACTTGTTAGTTTTTATTCATTTTATTACTTTTACTCTTTTATTATCAACTATAGACCCTCCCAACTGTCCTTCTTCGGAGCTGTTCAGAGGAACCTTGACGTGTGCAGATGCCTCGCTGGCTCACAAAGCTCCACCAGGTGGTTCACTGGCCTGACCCCTGAAATCTGCCCATCAGGTTCCCTTCCTGTCATATTGGACATTAAGTATGGCTGCCCATCAGATCTATTCTTATGGTAACACTGGGCAGGATGCTTATGTTTTCCAAGAAAAACTACCTAGAATTTGTCATCAGAAGCCATTTTCTACTTATACTCAGTATCTTCCTCCAGTTTGCAGGAAAAACCACAACAATTTCATCATGGTAGTAATTACTCTTCCTTGAGTTTAAGATCACTTTAGCACCATAAATTTTACTTTTTCTAATTCTTGACTGTCCCAGACTCTTCAAGTTGTTTCTAAGCTGAAATATTTAGCTGCAGACAAAAATTATATTTGTAGATTCAACAGAAGTCTATAAAATAAAGGCCAGAAAAAAGGGCAGAATTTCAGAAATCGCTATGAGAAACTGGCTTTCTTAGCTCCTCCACAGATGACACTTAAGGATTTTTAGTTGCTTTACCGCCCCTCATCTCAGGACGTCGCTGAGACTGGTGTGGTGAAGGGCATAGTTACCAGAAGCTTTGAGAGCCAGGGTCAGCTCCACCCGCTGGCTGAAAGAGCTGCTGGCAGAAAGACTGGTTCTATGCCCTAATGTAAGAGTGAGGAAAGTGTTCTGACCTAGGATAGAGTGACAAGGCCAACCCAGAGCTGGCTTAGGGCTGGCTCATCGTTTGCCTCAACTGGTGACAAGAGCAGCATAGGTTGGCCAGGACTGGGAAGTAAAGGTGGGCAGAAGTGTTAATCAGGCACTGCTGATGTCATCTCTCCAATGGCAGGCACAGTTGTCCCGTGAAGTTGTCAAAGCTCAGTAAGGGAGACTTTATTCATGACCACGCACTGGGATTTTTGCAGAGATCAGGTTCAACTTCAAATACAGTGTGAATAGGGGGGAATTTATAGCCAAGAAGCAGGATTGAGAGTGTATGAATGAAACAAATTAGTAAGAAGAAGAAGCACTCAGGATAAGAGGGGTTCTGGCTCAACCAAGCTAATAGGATTATTACTGAAAGCAGTCTAGAGTGAGCAGAGATCACGTGGGGTTGGTGGAGTTAGTGAGGAACCTTAGCAGGTATCCAGGGTGTGCAGAGGGCTCTGCGACACTGATGTACCAGAGGTCTTTGCCAAAACAGGATCCTACAAAGGAGTGCATCCCTACATCTGGTGAAAGGGTTAGGACTCGGACTGCTGCTTGCAACCAAAGAATCTTTGTTAGTGGTTTAGAGGAAGAACTCAGTTATCAGAAAAAAATATATATGGAAATAATACAAAATAAGGACTCACCCCACAGGGCCACCATGATTTGGGTAGTTATGATAACACAGAATCAGGTACAAGGTCGAAAACAGAAAAGCAACAATCTTTATAACTAGATGCTGTGTGCAGTTAAGGCGATGAGGAGGCTTTGAGTTTGAAAAGAACGTAGGATTCCAGTTATCTGAACACAGGTGGGCACAGACTCCTACTTGTTCCAAGATTTACTCTCTCTCTGCCCCAGCTTCTGGTGTTGATCATGGGACTTGTGAAGAAACTTCACTGGTGCCTTCATCATGCTTGAACTGGGTGTTAAAGGTACAATACATAGTGCTCAAGGACACACCAGGGCCAGACTGCCTTGCTCAAATCCCAGCTCGGCAGTTCCCTCTGAATGGCATCACACAAACTGCCTCACCTCTATGTAGCACGTTTTTAAAAATAAGAGTAATGCAATCTGTGCTTTATTTGCTTGGAGACTAAATGGATTAACATGTGTAAAATTTGGAGAATGCTCCCTAGCTCATCCTTGTGTTACCTGATGAATATAACAAAAAATGGAGAGCTTGGTTTTAGTTTTATTTTTGATCAACACAATAATTATAAATCTTTGTGGGTGACATGTCTACTGAATACACATTTCTCGAAAGCAAGCATATGAATGCCTAATAGATATAAAACAATACTCAACATCATGAATCACTAACATTTTCTGTTTGGGAGTATTTGCAATACAAATGCCCAGGTCTTAATTGAGGTTTTGATGAAACTGATGAAGAGTATTTACAAAAATTTTGCATGAACACTCAATTCTCTGTACTCTGTCTCTTCCCCAGGTTCCTCTTTGCCTCCTCTAGGTGGATGCAATATAGTCAAGGAAACCTTGACTGTGCTGTCTTAACACGTTCTCAGGCAGGTAACAGTTGCTCTGAAGAAGGTCAAATGCAATAGGCTTTAAAAAGTGATCAGGGAGGAGCAGGACCCTAAGCACAGCCCAAACTTCTGATTGTGCAAATTGGGGTCAGTTCTGCAATACTGGTTAACACTTGGTGGAAGTGTAAATACATCTCCTGGCTTCGTATTCCTCAGAGATCCTGATGGAGCTAGGGTGGTGCAGCAGAGGGAACATGGGCCCAGCATCAGTCCTGAGTCTGTCGTGCCAAGGGCCAGTTAGTTCATCTTTCTTAATCTCTTTTTCTTTATTTGTAAAGTGCACTTAACAGCACCAATTTTTGGAGTTCTGATTATTAAATTACATGATGTCTATAGAGCCTATATATATATATATATATATATATATATATATATATATATATATAATTTACAGGCCACCTTGAATTATTATAGAGTAGGGAGGAGAGCATATACAGCTCTTCAAAGTATGTCTGACTCTGTGCTTCCCTATGCCAGGTATTAGCAAAGAATGTCATAAAGAGAGGTGGGTTTGGTTAAAGAGACACTGATCAAGAATTCCAAATTGCCTCTGGGTCTTCAGGCATTTTCTGCAACAGAACTGAGCACCATCAGAGAAAGGTCACTTCAGGGATCAAGGAAGTCCAAAAATTGACAATAAGAAAAAGCTTGTCATACACAAAGGGCACAAAAAAAAGGGAAATCAGACTTGTTGACAGTGCTTTTTGGCTGTAGGGGAACCAGGTGCCCCCTCCAGAGTGACAGAGAGGCAATTTAGTTGTACGAAGGAAATGTAGTGCACAGTAGAAAGTGAATTTGTGCAGTTCATTTCCTCAATAAGACGAAACATTAATTACAATGCTAAAGTTCACAGACAGTGGAATCAGCAATCAGTTATAGAGGAAAATGAGGCGTGGGGGGGTTGACATTTAATCATGTGATTCAGCATCCATGGGAGAAACTCTTGTCTGGCTGTGGGGTCCCAGGGCTAACCCAGAGCCTGTCTTTGAGGGACAAGGGCCCCCAACTTATTCTGGGCGATAGCCAGCAGTGTCAGTAAGTAAGCTCAGAGTAAGTACTGATAACGTACTGTGCCGCGCGGCCTCTGAACCCCCGACCGGCAGGGGAATTGACTCACACGACACACCAGAATGCAGAGACAGAGGTCGCGTTTATTGACTCTCCACACAGGTCGTCCCCGGAACGTTCCTCCCTGATCGGACTCTCCAGTGGGGCTCTCTCTGTTGAGTAACCCCGCGTAGTCCTCCACTCTCTATGGTCTGCGTGTCTTCTCTTCCTCTCTACCTCCTGCTCTGTCCTTATATCTATAGTCCTGTCCTATAGGGTAACAAGGCGTGGCAAAGTCTGATTGGGGGACATCAGCTGTAACTAGGCAGAAGCTGAGGGTAAGAATACGGAAGTAGGAAACGGGCGCCATCTTGGCATCATTCGATGGGAGGGGTAATCTACTGAAGGCTTCGCTCTTTCCTACAGGCCTCATCTGCTTAGGCAGGTCCTCTGGCTCGGCTCCCGACATCTCCCCCTTTTTTCTTTATTAAAGGCGGTGGATCTAAGGGTCCCTCCAAGGTATGATGTTGTTAGATACCTGGGAGTGGGCCTACTTTGTAGGCCACGGCATGAGAGAATGTAGAGGTCTATACCCCGCTGTGCATCACCTCATTTCGATGCATATCCTCGCGCTAGGACCATGCTTGAGGTGAGTGGTTCATTTTTTCGCAGGGCCAGGCTTTTGTGAACCGAACCTGGATGCATATAGACATTCATTCCTGCCTTCCCCCCAGCTTTGGGGCGGGTGGCACTGCAGTACCCTTGGTCTCGCATCTCAATGCCAACAACTTAGCTCCATGAGAGGACCCTAATAGAGTGGGGTCTGTCTTAGGTTGGTCGGGAGAGCCCCTCCCGCCTTACCCGTCATTGACTCCATCACTCATCTCCTCGGGGAAGAAGGATGCCATCCAGAGGCACCTGTCTTTCTCGGTCCCCAACTGATGCTTTCCTCAGTAAACATGATCCAGTTGGGCAGCGAGGAAGCATTTGGGGGCTTAAAGGTGGAGAAAACCACCATATCATTAGAGAGGGGCACAGTGATATTGAACTCATGGGAAGTAATCGGGGCATCAGGAAGGCATGGCAATCTAGCTGTACAGTTGTGGGCATAGGTTCGCGGGAGGGTTGGAGATGTAACTGAAACAATGGACAGGGCTGGGGGATGTAGCCCCCCATACTATTTCAGCATAAGCACCGTTAATCAGCAGTAGTACCGCCAGGCATATTTTATGCCAGTTGACAGGGCGCGGTGCATGAGCAAACAAGAAGGCGCTCCGTCCCAGGCAGACCCCAAAGAGGAATACCAGAGTATACATTACCACACCCAGCAGTAGGTGGTTCGGTGCCTTGGCTAGGGTGTCATTGTTCTCCTTCTGCGTTGTCAAGTTGGTCCTTAGCATTATGGTCCCCTTCTCCTTTTTCTTCCTTTGTGGGGCTTGGAGTCTTTCTTATCAATCGCTCCGGTACCCACAGTGGTTCCTTTTCCTGTGGGGACACACAAACCGCGCCTCGGTTCCAGCTGACCACTGGATCCGGGCCCATCCACTGTCCCGTTAGGACATCCTTCCACTTTACCCATCCTTTGTTGGCGGGAGAAGGGCTACAATGCTCCACCGCCGGGGAGCGATCATTGCAGTTTTGATTCAAAAAATTATATGTAAACAGTGCCATGGATAGTCTTGCTTTTGGGGTCAGGCTGTGGCCTATTCCCCCTTTTTGTTTTGTTAAGATGTTTTTGAGGGTTTTATGGGCTCTCTCAATGATGCCCTGTCCTTGTGGGTTATAGGGGATTCCATGTTTTAACTGGACTTGCATGGTTTCACAAAATTTTGCAAAAGATTTCCCAGTGTATGCTGGGCCATTGTCTGTTTTGAGATGTCTGGGTTTTCCCCAGGCTGCCCATGCTGCCAGGCAGTGGTTAATCACATTAGACACCTTTTCCCCTGTTTCCGCTGACGCAAAGATTATATGAGAGCAGGTGTCTATGGAGACATGAACATACTTTAGAGAACCAAACTCTGCCACATGAGTGACATCCATCTGCCAAATGTCGCCGGGGGTCAACCCCCTAGGGTTAACTCCGACTGACACTACAGGCGAATGGGTGTCACATGAGCCACAGAGTCGCACAATGTCGCGTGCATCTGCTCTGGGGATATGGAATGTATTGGCAAGAGTCCTGGCATTAACATGAAATTTGTCATGAAATTGACGGGCTTGTTCCAGTGGGGACAGTATATTGAGAATCCATAGCGGGCGAGTAGCCGCATCCGCGGCCGCATTGCTCTGCACCATGGGCCCCGGTAGGTGCGTATGTGCTCTTATATGAGTGATAAACACTTTATGGTGTCTACTCGTGAGCAATGCCTGGATAGATAAGAACAAGTTTGTTACTTTAGAGGTTGGCTTGATTGGGCCCGCAGTTTCCAGGACCTGTAGGGCATTAACAACGTATTTCGAATCAGAAACAATATTGAGGGCCTCTGAAAATTTTTGGAGAACTGTTTGTACAATCAACAACTCTACCACCTGTGGTTGATCTGGTTCAAACTGTATGGTAACCGGAGACTTACCTGAGACTACATAGGCCCCTATCCCGGTTTTCGACCCATCAGTATAGATAGTTGTTGCATGAGCAAGAGGTGCGGAGGCGGTGATCTTTGGGAATATCACCGGATGTTGAGTAACAAACTGTAGTATGGGGTCCTTAGGAAATTGATTATCTATATCCCCGGGGAACACGCATCTCAAGATGGTCCAAGTATCCAGGCAGGCGGTCAGGGTCTTTATCTGAGAAGCAGTATAGGGCACCCGAATGGCATAAGGCGGGGAACCAAGATGTTGGATCGCTCTACTGTGCGCCTCCAATGCCAGAGAAGCAACTGATTCCGGGTAGTGTTCAATGACCTTGGCAGGTGAGACCTTAGGGTGCACCCACAGGAGTGGTCCCTTTTGCCAAATCACCGCCGTGGGCTGACATCTGGTCTGCAGCAAGCAGATTTCGAAAGGCTGTCCTGGGTCAATCCTCTGTAAAGTAGCTCTACTTATGGCCTTTTCAACCCTCTCTAAGGCAACCCTGGCCTCTGGGGTGAACTCTCTGGGGGAGGCAATGTCCGGGTCCCCCTTCAAGAGATCAAACAGAGGCTTTAAGTCAGAATTGGAGACATGTAAGTAAGGTCTGACCCAGTTTATATCTCCTAATAACTTCTGCATGTCATTTAAAGTGGTGAGATTATCCGTTCTGATGGTTACCTTCTGCGGAGAAACCAGAGTAGAGGAGAGTTTGGCACCCAAGTAGGTCACCACTTCTCCCCCTTGAATCTTGTCAGGGGCAATGTTCAAGTTAGCCTTTCTCAGGGCCTTGACCAGTTGGCCTAACATATCTTCTAACATTTTTGTTTCCTTTGCACTGATAAGCAGGTCATCCATATAATGAACGCATCTAATCTTGGGGAAGGCTTTTCGTATAGGGGTCAGCAAGGAATCCAAATAGATTTGACACATAGAGGGACTGTTGGCCATACCCTGAGGTAGGACCACCCATTCGTATCTGAGATCAGGGCTCTCCTGGTTAACCGTGGGCAGGGTGAAGGCAAATCGATGGGTGTCTTCCGGATGCAGGGGAATAGAGAAAAAACAATCCTTAAGGTCTATGACATAGACTGGCCAATGTCTTGGGATCGCTGAGAGTGCCGGAAGCCCCCTTTGAACTGCCCCTAAGGGTTGCATCTGCGCATTGATCGCTCTCAAATCATGGAGCAGCCTCCATCTGCCTGATTTCTTCCTGATGACAAAAATGGGGGTATTCCATGGGGAAGTCGACGGCTTTAAGTGTCCAGCTTGAAGCTGGGTTTTTATTATTTCCGTTAGTGCTGAGAGCTTCTCCTTGGGCAGGGGCCACTGAGGTACCCAAACTGGACTTGGGGACTTCCAAGTGATTTTAATCAGGGTGGGTAGGAGAACTTCTTCAGTGGCCCCTAGAAAAAACCCAGGCCATGTCTGCCTTCCTTCTTCTCCATAGGTACAGGGGAAGTCTGGCCCTGTAGGGCAGAGCCCAAGCCCTTGCCGGGGATATACCCTTGATTCTTAAGCATGCCCTTGGCCTGAGGAGAACAATTGGATGTAAGGGTGACGTCCATCTGGGTAAGGATGTCTCTCCCCCACAGAGACACTGGCAGTTGTAGGACAAAAGGCTGGAAATGACCCTGGTGGCCTTCCTCATCACACCAAGGCAGGGTTATGGCGCTAACCTGAGGAGCTGTCACCATCCCTAACCCTTGAAGTGTGTTGTCTGCTGTATTTGTGGGCCAACTAGAGGGCCAGTCCTTCTTAGAGATGATAGACCGATCGGCCCCAGTGTCCAAAAGCCCTGTAATTTTTCTCCCATTTATTCTCAATGATAACATGGGTCTTTTGTCAAGTGTCAAATGCAGCCCTTCGAAAATCCCCGACCCCGCGCCTGGTCCCCTACCGCCCCTGATCCTCTGCTGAGAGGGGAATTTTCCGTGAAGGCTGGGGAGCAACAAAAGCTGCGCTATCTTATCTCCCTCGTTAATGACCAGAGTTCCGTTAGGGGATCGGACCAGAATTTTTATGCGGCCTGTGTAGTCAGAATCAATGACTCCGGGGACAACAATGAGACCTTGCAGGGCAGCTGAAGCTCTACCCAACACCAGTCCAACTGTCCCCTCAGGCAGCGGTCCACAACATGGGGTTTCTACGATTTGGGTACCCAATTCAGGCGTTAGTATGAGTCTGGTGGTGGCACAGAGGTCCAGTCCTCCCGAGCCGAGCGTGGCTCTTGTGAGGTTTGGCTGTCTCGAGGGGACATTTTCAGGGTCCGGGGGCCCACTCCTTGGAGGGGCCCCCTCTGGCCGTTTTTTGTCTCTGATAGCTGTCTGCCACTCAAGCGGTTTCCGTCACTATCAAAGATGGAACGACAGTCCTCAGCACGGTGAGCTCCTTTCCGGCAGCGCCTGCAAATCTCCCCTCCCCCTTGGACGGATCCGCCGGAGCGATTCCTTTGGGGGCACTCACGCTTCAGATGCCCTAGCTTTCCGCAAGTGAAGCAGGCGCCTCCTTGGGGCCTCTCTCTGGCCTTTATTTTGTTATTGGTAGCCGCTGCGAGCAGGGCGGCCACACCTGCGTTGGAAAGGGGGCCCCCTATCTCCCTGCAAATTCTTATCCAGGTGTTTAAGTCCTTGTTCTTATGTGGTGCGATTGCTGCCCTGCATTCTTTAGTACATTGTTCGAAAATCAGTTGCTTGACCAGTGGTAGAGCTGTCTCCTTACTAGGGAAAATCTTTTCTGCTGCATCTTGCATTCTAGCCACAAAATCTACAAATGGTTCTGCGGTGCCTTGAACTACCTTAGAGAGGCATGCGGATGCGGTCCCAGAGCCGCTTACCTGTTTCCAGGCTCGCATTCCAATAGTATTGATCTGCTCGTAGACTGCACTGGGGTACTGCGTTTGATCTTCAGCATATTGCCCCTCCCCCGTTAACATGTCTCTGCTCCATCCCCTATGACCCCCGGCAGCATTCCTCTCTGCCTGTTCTGCTGCGTACTCAGCATACCAAGCCCTCCAATCCAGATAGCTGCCAGCTGGAAGGCAGGCCTTAGCCAATTGGGCCCAATCCCCAGGCGTAAGGGGAATAGAGCAGAGATTTTCTAGTATTGCCACCGTGTATGGAGCTTCGGGGCCAAAAGTCGTGACCGCGCTTTTCAACTCTTTTATCTGCTTAAGGTCAAAAGGCTCCCACACATTCCTACCCTGGCCTGGGGCAACTTGTATGGGGTACACTCCATAGGGGCCCACGTCTATCCCTGGTTCCGGCATCCTTGGTCCCGCCCACCATTTAGAACGCCAGAGCGAGCCATGGAAGTATCTTGAACCCCGAGGCGGCTCAGCATAGGACGGTGGCGATGGGCGGGGACCGATAGTAGCCGCCAGTCTCCTAACCTCACTCTGCGCCCCCTGGTGGCACAGTTCCTCACGGCGCACCGCCTCCGGAAATAGGTCCCAAGGTGGGGCCGAAGGTAATTTCTCCTGTCGCCAGCAGGGGTCAGCAGAGGGTTTCTCTTTTTCTCCCTCCGCGTCCCCCATTGAGATGGCGCGGAGCTCGCGTCGGAGACCCCCGTAGATGCTTTTCCTGGACTGTGCTTCTTCATAATAGGAATCAGACGAGTCCGATTCCTCCCCCCTGGGGTCTTCCTCCCGAAGGGAACCTTCCCTAGAGTTTTCAGCTTTCGCCCGTTCGAAGGCTTCTCTCACCTCTTCGATACCTGCACCATGGACAGCGGGCGGGAAACCCTCGTTTTCCTTCTCTAAGCAGGTATGTATCATCTCCCACAAGGGGCGAACGGAAGGGGATAAGTCCCCGCCGAGCTCGGCAGAGGCCAGATCCCCCCCCAACCTCTCCCATGAAGGCAAAGTCAAACGTCCCGTGGGTAGGAACCACGGGGCTATCCGGTCAATCTCGGCAATAAACAGCTCGAGAGTGGCACGACTTACCCCAAGATCTTTTGTTTTTAACAGTCTCTTAAGGGCCTTGGCTAAATCC